AACTGTGTAATTAATTATATAGTGTTTGCTTTATGAATGGATTAAATGATTATTATTATTATTATTATTATTATTATTATTATTATTATTAAACAGAAACAAGTAAATTATTTGTCTATAAGTCTACAGTATCTATTGTTTGAAAAACACATTTTGATTTTCAAGTAACATGCAAATTTATTTCTTTTTTTTCATCAAATCTCTATCTAACAAAAAAGATAGACGTGAAGGCCACGTGTTACGAAATAGTTCCTGTGCCGGAGGCCGAGCAAATGTGCGCGATTTATGCACATATTTATGTATACTGTATTCAAAGTCTCTTATGCAAAACATGCTCTTGAATGAACGCATTCGGTGCACATCCTCCGAAGCTATACTATTTTTAACATTGTATTCTTATACAAAAACGTTACCTTATCTATGCGATTATTTATAAATAAATCATCTAATTTTGAAAGCATTATAAAACTCAAAAACTTATCGGATGTTTTTATCAATTGTTGCTAAAATATAGGAGTTCGACAGCAGAATTATTCAATAACTAGCTGTTCTTATGCGACTTCATTCGCATGAAAATGTGAAAATTTTATTTAATTGTTTACATGTGTCAAATTATCAATTGTAAATGTCAAAATGACATGACATGTCAACCTTGCTTCCTTAATGTTGGCATCTTGTACTTTATGGTCCCTTTCCCACATAAAGGGTTTTTTTCAAATTTATTTATCCTCCTAGTTTAATAGCGTAAAAATATAAAGCCTAAAGCGTGTCGTAAGTGTAGGGCTTTTTATTAAAGAAAGAATTATTCAGAAATATGCTGTAATTGCTAATATCTTAGGCAACAAAGTAGTGTGTGTTTACGCTTTATTGTATTAGTATACATATAGATGTGCTGATGATTTGATGTTTCTCCAATATATTTTTAATTAAACTCAAGCCGTGTAAACGGAAATTCCAACTACCCACGTTGTGTTACGATCAATGACGCCAAACTGTTTAAATGAAAATAAGAAATGTAGACATTGAAAGTATAAACTGCTCTTATATTTTATCAAAAGTAGACAGTTGCAAACAAGATAGCTGTTAACTCGAAGTTATGTGAAAACGTGTATATTCCCATTCTGTATACGATCTTTCTGAAGGAAAACAGAGCTTGAACAAAAGTTACAGTCTTCTTAAATTATGAAATAAAAATAATTAATAGAATTATTAATTTACTTCTTATTTGGCCTAAGGTCGTAATGGAGGTATCATTTTTCGTCACAATATCTGGACATCTGGTCACATCGTACTTACAAATATTATAAATGCGAAAGTTTAGATGGATGGCTGATGGATGTTTGTTTATGTTTTTGCCGAAGGGGAATGCGTTAGGCATATCCCGTGCCTTGGGGCAGACATGAGAGTTATGTGGAACTCTCCCCATAGGGGGGGGGCATATTTCACTAAACCCCTCCGTTCCATCCTGGCCTTTGTGTAGGACGCCACGTGATCGCTTTCGCTTAGAGTTTGTAGTCTAAACGGTTGAACGGATCTCGATGAAATTTGGCATAGACGTACATGATAGTCCGTAAGAACACATAGACTACTCACTTTTGTTTTTTTTTTTACTTGTTAATTATCTAAATATTTACTTATGTCCTAATAGCATGTTTGTTTTAGGTATAACTGGAGAAGTCATAATTGACACGAATGGGGATCGTGTGGCTTCATATTCATTACTGGACATGAACCCTAATACCAGTAAGTTTGAGGTAAGTGTCCTTTATAATAGTGTAGTTGCAAATACTTGGACCATTTGTTAATAACATATTTGTTACCTAAGCGATCATACTCGCCCTGATTAATACTAGGAAAGACCCGTTTTTCATGTCACAGAATCTATTGAAAACGTATGCAAGCGTAAACAACACACTTTGTTGTTTTTTTGTGAAAACTCTCGTTTTTATTGAATATACACCGATATGGAAAAGATAAAAATCGTATCTCAATGTAAAATCTGATCTTGCCTTTCAAAAGATGACCGAAATAGATAACCGAAAATTGCTCGTTTATATGGTTTAAAACAGTTCATTAATTAATTAAATTTGTTAATACAAAAAGTCTTGGAGTTAATTACAAAATTACCTTGTAAGAACTACGTGATAACATGCTTAAATTGTAAACAGACGTCAAAAAAATTGAGACTTCCTATCAAGTGGAGCGGGAGCACATCTTTGACTAAACTATCGCACAACTGTTGTACGATTATCGATTGTTTCACAGCCAATTAGTTTTTAGTTGCACGACTAACAATCGAGTAGTGTGGGCCACCTCTATAAGCTCACAGGAATCAAAGCGGGACTAAAAATTCAAAGGTTTCTGACTAGAATCGACAAAGGCGATGTCATTACGATGTCATTATTTTCTTTAATATAATCTATACTATTATAATAAAGCGTAAACACACACTTCTTTGTTGCCTAAGATGTCAGCAATTAAACAATATTTTTGAAGAATTCTTTTTTTAATAAAAAGCCCTACACTTACGTCACGCTGAGGATGTATATTTTAACGCCATTAAACTTAGGAAGTAAATATTTTGGATAAAAACCCTAACGTGGGAAAGAGACCATAAGTTGCTGCCAACATTAAGGAAGCAAGGTTGCCTTGTCATCATATTTTCATCGTCATGTCATTTTGACATTTGCAATTGATAATTTGACACAAGTAAACAATAAAAAACATTTTTCATAATTTCATGCGGATGAAGTCGCACGGGAACAGCTAGTCAGATATATTATTTCATACAGTCTTTACAGTAATGGAATCCCACGCTTACTTGTAACTTCTTGTTACATATCTTAGTTTCAAGTTAAACCCTTTCTTGTACGCAAGTGGACTTTTACCTCGACGACCACTTACGCTCGCTTCATGACACAGATTGCGAAATGGGTGAATGTTTGTTGTCATGTTCATTGAAACGGTTGCATAATTTTTAAGTTACATTGCTAAAACCAGGACACTCATGTTGCTAAAAATAAAACTTTAATTAAAATTATATTGATTCATTGGATATGACAAAAATCAAGTTAAATAAAAGCGCGCACACCTGTGACTAAACTATCGCACAACTGTTTAGTCTTGCTTTGATTCCTATGAGTTTATATGGATGCGAACACTACTCTATCTTTAGTTTTTTTTTTAATAACAAAAGGCAAACGAGCAAGCGGCCACCTGATTCCGCCAAAATGACGAAGCGACCGCTGCCCATAGACATCCGCAATTGCAGATGCGTTGCCTACCCTTATCCGACAGAGGAGACACACATACGATACATAGACGATATTTCCCCTTCCTATGTATCTCCTCCTCTGTCAAATCCACTTCCCCTTCCCATCTTCTCCTTATAAGAAAAGGGTGGTAAAGAGAAAGGGACATGAATTAGGCCTCCGGCACCACACTCATCAGACGAAACACGGAATTGCTCCCATTTCACGCCTATCTTCTGTGTGGTCGTGGTATTTTTTAGACAGTAGTGTGTCTCTAAATATATACGCTCGCCAACATTTTAATATTTATTGTTCTGCACAATTTAACAATTAAAATACGAGAAAAGTGGGTCAGGATCATGTTAATGTTCCGCTTTTTATATCATTATATAAATTTTATTTAAGATAAGTAAAAATTAATACATACAAAATATCTTAAAAGCGAAATTTCATGGTCAGGAGGCCTTTCATTTAATCCTTTATTTTAAGAATTTTGTTGTTATCTGAAATCAATATCTTTTTTATTTGATATACTGACACAGTAATGAGTTTTTTTAATTCTTTTTTATTTGTCATTCAACTAGTTCACGGTTTTGTCCATTTATGTACATTTTTGAGAATTAAGTAATTTCTTTCATTATAACGTCAATCGAAAATGCGATATAACTCCAAAAAAATGTAGTTAAATATATGTTGCAATATACTCGTATGCTTAATCATAAATATGTATCACCACATTCCGTTACTAAAAGATTTGTATGAAAAATAACTGTCGTCTCTTTCTCTATCAAGATAATTGACAGGTATAACAATGTTTTTCTACAATTGTTTCGGCAGTTCAAACTCTCGTTAAATAACCAAATAACACTGTTGTACTTTTTTTTGTTTATTTGACAAGCATTCACGTTACTATCATCAAACTATACGTCTCGACTAAGAGGCTTTTAGCTTAACCTGACTTAGAGTGAAGACCATAGTCAACTACGCTGGCCCACTGCAGTTTGACTTCACCTATATCATGAATTTTTTTCCTCGATATGTGCGGACATCACGATGTTTTCCTATAGCCTAATTTTCATCGTCCACTTGCCCTTATCCCTTACGGAGGGTCGGCACAGTATGTGCTGCTCTTCCATACATCTCTATCAGCCGTCATATTTGAATCCACTCCGTTCTGTAGCATATCCTCTTTCACACAATCCACCCATACTTTCTTCAGTGTTCCTCTACCTTTGTAGCCATTCAATCTTAACACTTTCTGGTTTATGTCACCATCCATACCACATTAGCCTAATTTTGTATTTAATATTAATCATAATTACTAACATCTAATGTATTTAATTCTAGAGTTTGTTATCATCATCATCATCATCATTGTCAGCCATAGGTCGTCCACTGCTAACGTAGGCCTCATGTAATCCTCCTCGTGGCCTCGTTTGTTGTCATGTAACTTTAAAACAACGAAACGGAATCATGTCTTTTTTGAATTCGGTACCAATGTTATTTCTTTAAAAAAATACGATAAGGTTAACTGGATTTAACATGTCACATTTTTATTTTACAACAAAAATTAATAATATCAATATGGTAAATTAATTTTTCAGTAAAATATGGCCTACAAGTGTTGAAGGTTCGTATGACAAATTGAACATAAAAATATTGATAATAATAAAAACTTTTAATCGATATCGACACATGCGTTTTTGGTAAATGTGATATAATTTATCGAATTAGCATTGGGCCGCCGATTGTGCTCTAGATAGTGTTTGTACCCAATCCTTACTTTACATAATCTATACTAATATTATAAAGATGAAAGATTTATATTTTTGTATGTATTTGATTCGCGTAAAAACTACTGGGCTGATTTAAAAAAATTTCACCATTAGAAAGGTAATTTATCAGTGAGTAACATGGGCTATATTTTGTATTGTTTTTGATTTCACGCGGGCGAAGTAGCGATCAATAGTGTGCTATAAGATACATTTAGATTAGCTGAAGATTAAAATAACAGTTTTTTCCTTTTATTAAAAGAATCAATGTATTTGTTACTTATACGTTTCCGAGACACTAGATTGTCCAATGTTTTGGTGGGACATTTTGGACGAGAATGGAAAGTTTGTATTTTAAAAACCTAAAAAAGACAATAAAAAAAACAGTAAGACTATTTGCTTACACAATATCGTAATTTTAGAATGTTATATTGTTGTTTTTAAATTTACATTTGCACATTATGATGAGTTAAGGTAACGTTAAAATAAATATGAAATCTAATTTAATCAAACAATATTTGGAGTAATTACTCTTAAAGTAAAACCGTTGCACTAAATCCGTAACATATTTGGAATCTCGTATGGAAATATTAGTCTAAAATTGGATTGGAAGTCAATCATATTGCGGTATTGATTCTGACCAGTGTTATTGCTTCAGGCTAACATTGTAACACATTTAGTTATGGTATATGGTAGAACACGATAAATTCTTAACGCGTATATGTAATATTAGAAGAAATAATATCAATTAGTACATATTCTATTTATCGAAAAACACGAAAATTTAGGGTTAAGATAAAATTAAATTAAGGAAAATATAATTGTCTTATTAATTAATTCAGCATATATTATCTATCCTTTTCCTTTTCAATAATTTTTACTTAGAACATTCCATTCCATTCCGCAGTGGCAGACCCAGCTTTAACATCTTTACACGAATGGGTCGGCTCGCCCGGTGTTAATACCACGACCATACAGAAGACAGGTGTGAAGTGGACAATTCCGCGATTCGTCTGCTGAATGTGGTGTCGTAGGCCCAATTTTAGTCACTTTCCCCTTTCACCCTTTTCTTAATAGGAAAGGATGGGAAGGAAAAGTGAATTTGACTGTGGAGGTGACAGATAGGAAGAGGAATATCCTCTTTATTTACGTCTTTTCCACCGTCAATCTAGGGTAGGCAACGTATCTGCAATTGCAGATGTTTATGGGCAATGGTGGCTTTCCATTTCGGTGGAAAAAAATAAGTATGCTAAACTATTTGAAGAAAATGTACTGATAACGTCTTCAATAACAAGTATTTTATTTGAATATCTTTCTTTGCAGGTCGTCGCGACTTACATAGCGGCAAATTCGTCTTTACAATTCATCGCAAACCGTCCAATTCACTGGGCTGGGGGGCGAACCACCCCTCCGCCCGACACCCCCGAGTGTGGTTTTGACGGCTCCCTCTGCCCCGACAACTGTAAGTGGAATTATCACTTATTATATTAACCAGTTGAAGAGTACGTCATATTTTAACCACAATTTTAATGAAGGACAACGATCTTTACTTAAATTTTCCTCGACTAAAAGGGAATGTTTAGGAGGGTATTATTCGTTGGTATGTTTAGAGCGTCGGGGCTCAGGGGTTATTTTGACATCTGCAGATCCTGGGTTCGAATCCCGCCCACCAATGTTTTCCGTTTCGTTTTCCATTTTCGATTTAATTAATTGGTCTTGATTCTCTTGGCGTTGTCTTTAATAAATAATTGTACATATATCTACATTTTTAAAATAATTATGCTTGTTTAACAAGCGTTTAATGGCTGGCCAATTTTTTTTTTGTAATCACATAATTAAACGTCCAAAACCAATATCAATAACAAGTGTAAATTATTAATTTTGAATTACGATTTAAAAATATTTAAAACCGTGTAATTACAAATAACCTACTTAAACTTAAGAAAATGGAAAAAAATGTACTCAAAAATTCGTGAGAACGCTTTTTGAATTATTATTTTATATCCGTTTAAAATTTTATGACGTGTTTTATGTTGGCGGTTGATTTATTTTTTTAACAGTTACTTTTACACCTTACACAATAATGTTCCAATGCCTACATTCGGAGAAAAAAAAAGTATGACGATTAAATTAAATTAAATTAAATGATAATAGAATATCAATTACACTGCAATAATTTCCTTCTATAATTTTTCGAATTATTATGTTTCAGTTTTATTCACATACCTATTTACGCGCGCGACTCTACCTCGTTGAATTAAAAAAAACAAAAGTGAGTAGCCTATGTGTTCTTCCAGACTATCCTCTACACCTACACAAAATTTCATCAAAATCTGTCCAGCCGTTTATGCTACACTCTAACAAACATCCATCCATCTAAACTTTCGCATTAATAATATTAGTTTGAAAGACGTAGTAAATATGTATAATGCTCAATATTAAATACAATATTATAGGCATGTTTTCAACACAAGGTTATTTCAAAAACGACGGCTGCATTAACCATCAATCTCAAACCGCTTTGAAGTTCTTTGATATTAAATACCGAAATTAAACACTTTGTTATTCGAGCGAAATTACGATTAACATGTCTTCCCTTGATATTCAAAAGCGATGAATGAAAACATCAATGAAGATGCTAACCTATTTCGTTAATAATTTCGAATTCACATGAAAGGCGTTTAAATTTATGTTACCTTGTCACTCCCTACTTTCAAGAGTAGATTCATGTTGAAAGTTAAACTTCTTCGCATCAAAAATTCAGAAACTCAGTATAAATGTATAAAATAAACAACAAGCTATACTTGTTACTTCAAGAAGTAAGCTTACAATACATATACCTAAGGTAAATCACTATTCTGTACAAATAACCATCACCAACTTGCCCTTTCCCTAATTAGTGTCGGCAGAATATGTGCTGCTCTTCCATACATTTCTATCAGCCGTCATATCTGAATCTCCATTAAACATATCCTCTTTCACACAATCCATCCATACTTTCTTCGGTCTTCCTCATCTAGCCTATTCCTTTGTAGCCATCTATATTCATTCTTAACACTTTCTCTCGTCGCATAACTTCTCCATAGCACGCTATCATATTAGCTATCATTTAGATGGATGGATTGTTAGAGTGTGTAGCCAAAACGACTGAACGGATTTCGATGAAATTTGGTAATATATGGATAATCTGGAAGAACACATAGGCTATTTACTTTTGTTTTTTTTTATTATAAGAGGACAGAGTCGCGGGCGACAGCTAGTTCTATATAAATAGATTATATTAAATTGGATGAAATGACAGATAAGAGAGACTATTCAGAGTCGGCTTTGTGTTGGTTTCTAATTAAACATTAATACCGTAAAAGTGTAAACGGTTACGTTTTAATCAAGATTAACTAAAGGTTTCTTTATAATTACGTTGGTTCCAGATTATCTTCTAATTTTCTCTGTAATTCTTACATATAAATTTCAAATTAATAATTAGCTTAATTAATAACTTGCGTAATATTCCAAAATCTTACTAATATTATAATTGCGAAAGTTTCGATGGATGTTTCTTAGTGTTTGTAGCTTCAACTGCTGAACGGATATCGATGAAATTTGGCATAGATGTAGAGTATAATCTGAAAGAACACATAGGCTACTTATTTTTGTTTTTATAAATTACACGCGGACGGTGTCTTGGCGAAAGCTAGTCAATAATAAAAAAACGGTATAAAGAAGTTAATCAATATCAAATTATTGATAGGAGTGCGCGAAAATACAATGTAAAAAAAACTTTGGGATTCAAAAAAGAATATAATACTTTTTCTCAACGACCAATTAAAAGTAATCTTGAACGGTATACACAATAAACGAGTGCTCAACTTTTAATAGGCAAACAATCGTTTAAGGTTTCTGCGAACAATATTTTAACAGGCGCTTAATTGGCGGATATAAAAATATTCACCGACTTCAGGCGAAGTTTTTTCGCCTCCGTTCTATATAACAATATATTTCATCCAATTATCCTTCTACCTTAGCGTTCCTAAAGTGGACTTAGGTCTGAGTGGCTTGACAAACATACAAAGGTCTTATAAATATGTAGTGTGCTATTATCGGGGGAGTCTCCTAACGGAATTTAGATAAAATATAGTTACAAAAGTTTCTTACGTCATTCTTTTGTTACAGCTATCCCGGTATACGCCATATTGAGTATTGTACTCAGTTCCGTCGTAGTGATTTTAGCAATTTTATCAGTATTTATTTATAGGTAAGTAATTTCAAATGTAAGTTATACATACTTTAGATCAAAATTATTATTTAGTTATTAAATATATTGTCCTTGTTAGAGATCTATACAACATCATATTCATATATATTAAAATATAGCGGAACTCTACTTGGCAATGCACGGAGCATTCTTTTGGATGAGGTATGCTTTTCTTGAAGCGCTCCAAGTTGATGAAAACATTCTTGGATATAGATTGTAACAACATTTTATCGTTTCTAGAACTTCTGCTATTAAACCGTTTCAAGGCTCATTCTTAGAACTATGATTTAAATTTGGAATACTGTCTACATTCGGCAAGTTTTTTGTAATAAATGCATTGCATAATCACATCCCTATCATAGTGATGAATAACGTTATGCAAGAACTAAGCAGTAACTAATTAAATCATTAAAATTTACCTACGATTAGACTTGAGCTATACCGTATGAAGCTTATTATGTTGCTTTGTTTTAGGCATTACAAGCTGGAAGCGGAGATAGCGATGATGACGTGGCGGGTTAGCTGGAGCGACGTGCTATTGCCAGGCGGCAAGCTACGCGGCAGCTTACACTCTCTCGCACGAAGGTACAGCTCTGGGGTGAGTTACTACTGTACTACAAACTAGCACACTAAGATGCTAATATAGGGTCGACCGTGTCCGTGAACAAGGATGTTATTGCCCGGCGTTCTGGCGTCCTTTAAAGCGTGTTTACCCATGCCTAACTTTTTTATGTTCCATGTATATTTGTATTAGTTAAACAATATCAAATTCTTATCCTCCGTTCCTTCCCACAATCGACTCCACGAGTGAGGGTATGAACAGGAAATTGACTGATTTTGGTTTATCCTACAACGGTATTCAGGAGATATACAAAGCAAAGAAACGGAATATTTCAGATATTATGATTTTGTTTCGTGGATTACTAATCAATTCAGTCAATTTTAATATATTAAATCTGCTTGATTAATTATTTTTTTACTTTTTATTAACGGTAACACTTATTTTATTAAAATGAATTAGTTTATTAAAATCAATTGGCGTTACGAATGCAATTTAAAAGTCTTCACAGTTAATGGAAATAAATTAATTTTGTTTTAAATTTAGTTTTTAATTTGTGTGAAAATTGTAATTTCTATTATTCATTAACACGCGTTTATTCAGTAACATTTTCCGAATTAAAACTTTTGTTGTTTTATTTTGAAATAGCTGTTCCCGTGCGACTTCATCCGCATAAAGTTTTGAAATTTTATTTTAATATTTACCTGTGTCAAATTATCAATTGCAAATGTCAAAATGACATGACGATGGCAACTTATGGTCTCTTTCCCACATTAGGTTTTTATCCAAAATATTTACCCCCTAAGTTTAATGGCGTGAAAATATAAAGCCTAAAGCGTGAAGTAAGTGTAGGGCTATCTGCTAAAAAAAGAATTATTCAAAAATATGCTGTAATCGCTGACTTCTTAGGCAACAAAGAAGTGTGTGTTTACGCTTTATTATAGTATAGAAGAGAGATATAAGATAGATAGATAGATTGAATGGGAGTCTCTCAGTAGGGGTGTATAATGTGCTGATAATGAACCAAATGTTCTAACTTGATTACTTTGTAAATAGACATTCTGATTGTCACAAAATATTCCATTAGTGTACATCTAAAAGTGATAGTAAGTTTAGATAAACATGTTTCTAGAGTGAAAATTCACATACACTTTCTTATTCGCAACGTAAAGAAGAAAAGAAACAAACCAATTTGTTACGATACATCAATAACACCGTACCTTTGTACACAAAGTTGCTTACGAAACGATCCAATGGGACTTATTTAGAATGTTAAGAACACAAGTGACACGTCGTAAACTATGCGTCGACTTTTACGATCAAACACCAATAGCGATACCTTGAGAGACAATCGAGATCGATTTTATTGAAGATTTAGAAAAACATCAAAATAACTCATGCTTGTATCCCATAGGAGTAGGCAGAAACCACAGACATCCATTTGGCTCGATCATGCCACTTTTACTGGAAATAGGATGAAAATTCCGTATGCTACTACTACTGCTTACTGAAATAATAAATAAATATACTATTCTGAATGAGTAAATACTAAGCAATACATTCCGTATTTTACATTCAATTGATGGCAGTAAAAATAAGTAAAAAAATCGCTAGGTTAAATACAAAAAATGCACTAAAAACAAAACAAAATACACCAAAAACAAAATATTCTCAAAAAAAACAGTACACTAAAAAGTAACGAAATAATTCCTTG